TATTATTATTATTATAAATATTGTTATTATTAATATCATTATTATTATTGTTATTATTGTTGGTATTATTATTATTATTATTATTATTATTATTATTATTATTATTATTATTATTGATGCCACAAAAACCATAAGTGTTATTAAACACTGATATTTCCCTCAAAACAATGGATTCTGTAGAATTGTCGCTTAAATTTTCTGTTAATCTATGTTGAAGTGCAAAATTAGTTACAAATTGATCAGCCTTTTCTTTATTCGTTATGGCCACTGTGCCGTCTACGTTGAGTGGTGGGATAACTTTGTTCTTATATTTCAGGACTCTTGTAATTTCCAGAAGGCCTTTCCATTTTTTGGTAAGTCTTTTAAAATTTTATTCCATCCGTTGTTTTGAAATTGCTGAATTCTGTCAGATATCGTTGTTTGAAGAAGAGTCATTCTAATTTTATAGTACTTGTTTCTTGTTCTTTGCCACAGACGCCTCAACTGATTTCTTTTACTTATTAATAAGAGAATATGCTGTGGCATATTGATTTTATCCGTTTTTGGGGTTATAGTTCTGCATGGTGACGCTCTTTTTGCACAGTCCAGCACTATTTCCTGAAATAGTGTGACGTGCCCGTTTATTCCATCAGGATTCGGATTATCCAGATTAAACGATATCTGATTCAGATTTATTTTGGAGCCCAGTAATTTCTTATATTTTAACCAGTTAATATTTTTATAATCGACATAGTATTTATTAAGAATTTTATCTACACCTGAACTAATGTTGAATCTTATTGGTAAATGGTCTGAACTAAATTTGTTGATAGTATAAGGGTCCGAAATTTCCTGTGGGATATTAGATAACACGAGATCTAGCGTGAATGGATTACCCCTGGTCGATTTTGGAATGTAAGTGCTACTGACAGGAAACAAGAGTGTGTAGTTGCTCGTAGAGAGCATATCGTTCAGAAGAATCCCCCACTTGTTATTTTTCAGACAATTCCAATTCATATGACGGCAGTTAAAATCGCCCATTATAATATATTTACCATGAATTCTATTGAATATTTTAGATCATGCATAAAGTCATTACAATTCTTATTATACGTACCACCCTTAAAGTATACTACCACTACATTTATGATTTCATTATTTATGCAATTTAAACTAATAGATAAGGTTTCGAAACATTTCGTTTTTAAACACGGTAACAGACAATGCTTAATACCCTTTTTAACTACTAATGCAACACCACCATGCCTATTTATTTCTCTATCACGTCTATATACTATATAATTATTGTTCTTTATACTTTTATTTGGATTTAGCCAAGTCTCACTAATTGCCGCAATATCAATTTCCTCATTTTCTATATAATCAAAAAATTCAACCTTTTTATTGTAAATGCTCTGGGCATTCCAAAACAAAACTTTTATGTTGCCATTGGACATTAAAAAGAATCACAAAAAACATACTTTAATGTTAATTCAGCAATAATCTGAAATTGTACCTGTTTACTTTGTCTACGATTTAATTTACTTAACAATTCATTTACTATATTTATTATTTCTTGATAAGAGAACGATTCATTAGTATTAGTGTTAGAGTAATTAAGATTGTTATTGTTTTGAGAAAAATTATTTTTATTTTTTTGAGTTAAATTTTGTGAGTGAGATCTGGTTATGTTAGCATATGAGTTAGAGTTATTTTTACTACTTGTAAACGTGTTAGTGTTATTATTATTATTGCAGTTTCTCAAACTAATAGTATTACTATAGTTACTCTGTGTTTGTAGCTTCGGGAACATCAAGTCAGAATTAATATTGAAAGCACTGTTATTTGAGTTTAATGATGATGTGTTGGTATCCGCAAATTCTTTAACGTCAAAATTTTGATTTTAGTCTGCAAACTGTCTGAAACTAAAACTTTTACGGACAGAAATCTAGTAAACTTTTTACCCGTAATTGACTTTGAATTTCGATCATCCGTAAACGTCAAAACAAAAAAAATTTTTTTTTTAGATTTAAAATAATTTTATACTTACATATTAAAAATTAACAATAAAAATATTTTTTATATTATTTTTAACGTAATGATAGTCTTCTTCTTCTTCCACTGCATTACAGTCCTCTGTGGACCAAAGCTTCCTTCACTATCCTCTTCCAATTGTCTCGATCTTGTGCAGATGTTGTGTAGTTATTTATGTTCAATATTTTTAAATCTTCGACTACTGAATCTAACCACCTCAATCTAGGCCTGCCTCTAGCTCTAGTTCCGTGATCTTTTCTCTGCAATATTGTTTTGACCTTACTGCTTTCATTCATACGGATTACATGGCCCAGCCATCTTATCCTTTGCGATTTTACATATCTTGTAATTGTTTCAAATTTCATCATTTCTTCCAGCTCATGGTTGTATCTTATTCTGAAAGTTCCGTCCTCATTTCTCGTTGGTCCAAAAATCTTTCTCAATATTTTTCTTTCGAAAGTAGCTAACAGGTTCCAATCAGACATTTTAACGGTCCAACATTCGCATCCATAAGCAAGTACAGGTCTAATTAAAGTCTTGTATATTTGTAATTTACTATTTCTCGAGAGTAACCTAGATTTCATCAGCTTCAGGTTCATGTAATAACATTTGTTAGCTGCATTTATTCTCTCTTTGATAGCATTTGTAAAATCGTTTGTACTTGAAAAAACAACACCTAAGTACTTGAAATCTTGTACATTTTCAAACTCATAGCTTCCGATTTATAAATTTCGAGAATTTCTTGAAGATCTGGTTTTGATGAAGTACTTTGTTTTTTCTTCATTTATGTTGAGGCCGATTTCTTTGGTATTTTTAACTAGTCTTGTGAAGATCTCCTTTATTTGCCTTTCATTTCTGGCGACAATAGCTATATCATCTGCGTAAGCACAAATTTGAAATGATTTTGTAAAAATACTTCCTCCATGATCGATTTCCCGGATGGCATAATGAAGCATCAGATTGAGTATTAGGGAAGAGAGCGCATCCCCCTGTTTCACACCACATTCTATATTGAAAGGGGCCGTTAACTTTCCTTGGATTAAAACTTTTGCACTATTATTTTTCAAAGTCATGCATGTCAGTCTTATTAATTTTTCGGGGATACCTAATCTCTGCATCACTCCAAAAATCCTTTCTCTATGAATACTATCGAACGCCCGTTGGAAATCAACAAAAAGACAGTGAACCTCTTTCGAATATTCGTTGAACTTTTCAAATATTTGGCTTAAAATGAAGCATTGATTTGTGGTTGATTTATTCTTTCGAAAACCACATTGGTATTCTGTTAAAATTTCTTCGGCTACATCGTTAATACGAACATACAGAATATTCGTAAAAATTTTATATGCTGTATTCAGTAGAGTAATTCCTCGATAATTTTTACAGTCTTTCTTGTCGCCCTTTTTATGTACAGGAAATATTATGCTATTATTCCATGTGTTTGGAAGATTTTCGTGTCTCCAAATCAATAGAATAAGCTCGTTTATTTTCTCATGCAGCCCCTGTCCGCCATATTTCAATAGCTCCGCTGTTATGAAATCTTCTCCACCTGCCTTGTTGTTTCTAAGCCTACTAATCGCGATTTTTGTCTCTTCTATTGTTGGTTCTTCAATTGTATTTTCAACGCTGCATAGTGCTTCAAAATTTTCGTTAGATTCAGTTCTATTTGTATTTTTAAACAAATCATTGAAATGTTCTTTCCATCTCTCTAAAATTTTTCCTTCGTCAACTAAAACTTTATTTGCATTATTTTTGCATACATTTAACCGTGGCTGATATGGGGTAGATTGATATTTTATATCTCTATAAAAATCCCTTATGTGGTTCCTAGAGTTTTGCTCAATTTTTTCGATTTTTGCGTTAAGTGACTCTCTCTTCTTCCTTCTTATAACTTTCTTTGCTTCTTTTCTTATGTAATTATATTCTAAACGATTACTTCTTGTTCCTCTACTTATATATTTTTTCCAGGCCTCATGTTTTAAATCATTAATATTCCTGCAATCGTTATCGTACCATTCATTTCCACTTCTTTTTGGTTGACGGCCTATTACATCAATTGCTGCCCCCTTGATGGTTTCTTCTAGCATCTTCCAACTATTTGAGATGTTTTGGTTTAAAACTGAATTATTAAGTCTTTCATTTATTGCATTTTCGTATGCCGATTTGATTCTATCATTTGAAAATTTATCTGTGTTCCATCTGACACGTTTGAATGAATTTTTGGTAGCTATATTTGAAATTCTTTGTCTCATTTTAACCTTTACCATATAGTGGTCGGAGTCACAATTTGCTCCCCTACATGATTTTACATCCAGTATACTGGAAGCATGTCTTTTATCAATTAGAATGTGGTCTATCTGATTTGCACCCCTTCCACCAGGGATTTTCCATGTATGTTTATGTATTTGTTTATGGTTAAAAGAAACGCTACTGATCCACATATTGTTCTCTAAAGCGAAATTTGTTAATCGCATTCCGTTCTCATTTGTGTCGGCGTGAAGTGAGTGTAATCCTGCTATATCTCTTATAAAACTTTCTCTACCAATTTTAGCATTGTAGTCGCCAGCAACTACTAAAACATCGTGTTTAGATGTTCTCTCGCATACTCTTGATAGCTCATCATAGAAAAAAACTTTTTCATCATCATTTGCATTATTTGTAGGGGCATATACTGAAATTAAAGTAATATTTTGGAATTTTCCTTTAATTTTCAATATGCATATACGTAATGATAGTCACTCAACACATCAAATTTATTTACTGAATTACTACGTCAGACTGTCTGCATGTAAAAAAAAAATCTACAATTTTGACGCTTAATTGACTTTTTTTAAACGTTTAAGAACTTAAACTTTGACTGAGAGTAAAAACGTAGTAGAGTATCCGTAAACTCAGACAACTCAGATTTTGTAAAATTTGACGTTTAAGAATTTACCATATATCTTCGTTGTTTTTTTCTCAGTCTTTCTTGAAGGTTCATATATTGCACACGTGTTGGACAATCTTTATAACCTGCAGCGTGGTTTCCATCGCAATTTTTACATTTATAATTTAACAAATGGTCATTTCCGGAAGTTTGATGTTGTTTACAATCGGCTGTCTTGTGATTTTCTGCACAAATACCACATGATGACTGGATATAACATTGTTTTGCAGCGTGTCCATAGCTTTGGCAGTTGTAACACCTGGTAGGACCGGATGTCTTTTTTGCGTAGTAATCAAATCTCACAATCGTGTTATTAATTGACCTAATTTTATTTTTTAGTTCAGAAAGTTTAATTGAATTCCTTTCCAGATATAAAATATAAGTAACTTGATCTGTGTATCTAGTTGTACGGATATTTAACTTTTTGATTTCAATTTAAGCCATACCTGGTGAGTTCATCTTTGATTTCATCAATTTTCACGTGTTCGTCCAGACCATATAACACTATTTTTGATGGCTTGGTGTTTGGAATTTCGTGTGTGAAGAAACTCCATTTGGCCATGTTGCCTTCAGCGCTTTTATTTTCATCAGAAAGGGCCTTAATAAGCTTATTAAAATTTGTGATATCTGGGCAAAATACGTGAATACCGATTGAACAATTTTTAACGTTGGCTCCTTTAATACCAAGTAAGGTAAGCTTGTTTCTTATTCCTACTGCATTACAGCCTTTTATTGTAATGGGTGGTATTTTAGGTGATTTTTGAGTAGTGTTTACCGATGTGTTCACAATAATTTCATCTTGGTCCATCAACTGGTTCAGCACCTCAAATCGATTATTAGTTTGTGACAGATTCATCTTTTTACTGTTGTTATGGTCAACATTGTTGTCATCCAGCGACGAACTTGAATTTTTCCTTTTTGTGGAAATTGTTTTCTTTTTTTTATGTTTTTGTAAAGTATAATTAAGATAAATGTGGTTTAAATATATATGTAAAAATCGTTTATACAACTGTACTTAACGAGTGTTTAGCAACGAATGAATAAGATTGAATATTACATAAATTTATGAATTAATTAAAAAAATAAATTTAAAGCAATGGAAAACTTACATGAAGAATTTAAACAATGCATCACTTTTGAATTACACTTATTATCTTTTCAATTATTATATAAATATCGTGATCACGATCATATTTGTTCATTTTTTTATTGAAGGGGAGTAATGTAGGCACACAGTTTGACACATTAGTTATCCCTCAAAGCATATATTCGCTCGACGAAATGTTTGAAGGGTATATGATGTGGAAACACTGGCTGCTTACATTATTGCTTACACAAATATATAGAACATAAATACACTATAATAGATTATAAGAATATGTATTGAATAATGAAATAAATCAGTCTTGAAACACATTTAACTAAAAAGGTGTTTTTAACTATATCTTGCTGTTATATCTACATATTCTGATGCACAACCGAATGCTTAACAGTTGTGGAATAATTTGAATCCTGAGTAATTTGAATTCATAACGTCATTTTCTACGACGTAATGCATGGTGTCACAACGTCAACCTTAGTCCACGAAACCTCAACCGACATATTTGTGCTTGTATCTACCAATCTCCTGTTCCTAAGATCAACCAATAGCCCGAAACGTTCCAAAAAATCAACTCCTATTAGGGCTACCCACTACCGCGATGATAAGAGCGTGTGAAAATTGTCTGCGCAAACAAATATTTCCTTGAAGTAGTTTATTACCGTAAGTTTATATAGGATTGCTGTTAGCCGCAGAAAGCAAAAAGTCCGAAGATCGATTTTTGCATCCAATGCTTCCCTGATTTGGTACAACAGAGACGTCAGCGTCCGTGTCGGCAAGAAATAAAATTTCATTGTTAACGTCTCTTACGAATAAGCGCCGTGAAGAGTAATTCCCGTTATTAGCCTGTAATTAACCGATATCTTCCCGATCCAGGAGAGGCTCCAATTTTTTAATTTCCGAGAGTGAATGTCTTTCTATAAGGGGCTTTTTCAGAGTTTCATATGGCTGCGAACTCGGTGGATCATTTAAAATATCGATCACGGAATCTACTGTATCTGGAGGCAATGCAGAAACAGTTAGATAGTATTTGGTATCGCCACTGGTATTTGGTATATATAAACCGAAAATTGCGACTCCGCCTGAATGAACCAGGTCGCCGGGTTTCCAGACCAAAATGGGTATAAACGAACGAATTATATTTATTTTATTTTTCCGTAATAAAAAAAATAAAAACACCAAAATTTAAATTTTAGTTTTACTTATTTATTTAACTTTACTTTAATCAGAGGACTAAGTTAGTTAATTTATTTATTTCAATTTACTTTAATCTTAGGACTAACAGTAAAACTGAACTTTTCATTTTGAAAGCAAACTTAATAATAATTATTGATATAAAATGAATTTATTAACCTAAGGTACTTGGAAGCATAAAACTATTTAGTCAGCAGTAATTACTTTAAGTGTGTTAATTTTATTTTTGTATGTAATTTGATATTTAAACTTTTATTTGAAAAAAATTTTTTTATGTGAAAGTAATTACTGTTGATTGTGAGTTTTTTTGATATTATGCAAAAATATGAAAATAAGAATTATGAAATTTATGGGAAAGAATTTTTTTTATTATTTTAAGTTAATGGAAAATTTTGTTAAATTTTATAAAAGAAAGGCGACGGAAATGAAGTGTCGTCTTTCAAATTGACTTTATTTGAGTTTACTGACATAACTCCTCCTTCCCTTGTTTGAGGACTCTTCTGAGTCGTCATATTAATTTTAATTTTAAAAATTTTGTGCTTCCAGGCAAATGTTATAATTATGATCAAAATGGTAAGTATACAAATAGATGTAATAATTTCGTATATATAATATGATTTTCTTTTGTATGTTATTTCTGTAATCTTGTTAAAATTTTCAATTTGATTTAAGATAATATCAAAACTTAATTCATTGTTTACATTTGCAATATTTTCTTCAAAATTTGGTAATAAAAAATTATGTTTAAATTTAGTTTTTTCATTTTTTATTGTAAAATTGTTGAAACAATTGTTAAAATTAATCAAATAATTTCCATTCTTAAGAAATGATCTTTCATCACAATTGCTTCAAAGATTCATTATATTGGTTTTTTGCAATTACTAAACCTTCTTGGATTTCTAAAATTTCTGAAACATTATTGATTTATTACAATTTAAATTTTTTAAGTCTGTATTTTTTGTGTAAGTAAAAGTTTTATTATCAAATTTTAAAATATTTTCCAGGTTAAATTTTAATTCTCTATTTGTATTGTCAGTCATTGGTATTAGTAATGAAACTGTTAATTCTATAAATTCTTTTGGAATATTTATAGCGAAAATTAAATTGTTTTTGTCGTCAGTTAAAGTTCCTACTTTTATATTATGGAGTTTATCAAAGTCAATGTCGCATTCAATAATTTCTTCCTTTGTTAGTAAACTACTGTATATTGTACCTGATCTTGCTGATGAAATGTTATCTTGTAAGTGTTCTATATTGTCTCGTAAAATTTTCAGTTTTAAAGCATAGTCAGTGTAGATTGTTTGTGTAAATAATTGTTTGTCTTTGAAGTTTTAAAGTGTTTTCTCTTTCGTCAAGGTTTGCATATTTTACATTGGTTTCAAAAGTATTTAAAATGTTTGAAATTTCTTCGGTGTTAACGATATGTAATATTGTATCGTAAGTTTTTACTAATTTAACGTCATTTAATTTTATTTCTGAGTACCCAAGGTCTGTATTAATCTGTTCTACTGTCAGATGTCCCTGGCAGTAACTTAGTACTATCGTCAGCAGTAACATTTTGAATATTAATTTTACCTGAAAATTTAGTTTTTCATTTAATATTGGATGAATGAATGTTATCTAGTTTATGTTTAATGTATTTGGGTTGCTCTATGTCTAACACTTTTATGTCTAACACTTTTATAATTTTTTATATAACCCTCTACTCTATTATCTTGATAGTTTTCCCTTTTTTTATTATTTTTATTTACAATTCTAGTTTTTTCTTTGAGAATATTATTATAAATTGTCTTGACGTCACATTTCCCTTCTTGGATGTTTATGGGTTTTTCTTTAGTTGTAGAATGATAGCTATTATTGTACCATTCTATAGCCTTAGAAACCTTTAATATTAAGTTCTTTATTTTCTATTCCTAGCATTCTAATTTTCTCAATAAGAGTGCTATGTAACCGTTCTATGTCAGAGTTACCGGTATGTGAATTGGGTTTAACTAAATGGAGTTCAATATTATAGTTTCTTAAAAAGTCTTTTATATTTATACTACGAAATTCGTTATCTGTCACTAATTTTGTAAAATGTCCTCTTTGTGATTTATAGTCCCTGAGTTTTTCAATTATTGTCTGATTGTTTCTACCTTCAAGGTAATAAGCTGTCGCGAATTTTGAAAATTTGTCTAAGAAAGTTAAAAAATTTGATTTGGAATTAGTATATACATCCATGTGTACAATCTGTTTAATATTTTTTGGAGTTTCGGTGAATTTAAATTTATCTTTTATTGGGTTTCTATCGTACTTTACTCTACTACATATGTCGCAGTTATTGATATACTTTTGAATAAGAAGTTTAAGATTTGGGAAAATATATATGACGTTTTAAACCCTCGTAATTTTCTAAAATTCCCGTATGTTAAGTTTCTAATCTATGGTATTTATTTATTTGTTTATAAGCTTCTTCTTCTGTCTTCATATCCTTTGCATGGAATGAACATTTTACGAACCTAATTGTACCAATGTCACTAAATAGACCTTTTATTTTTTGTTGCAAAATATTATATTGATAGTCAGGTAGATCTGTATAAATTCCTACTTTACCTGGTTTTATGTATCTTCTTAAAATGTCAGATAAATTATTTTTTAAGTCTTGTGAGTTTATATAAATTTTCCTATTGTTATGTACTGTTTCTGTTTCCCTAATTTTTCATTTGTTAAAATAATTTGGGTTTTGAATCTGTTAACAACTGTCTCTAGTATTGGTATGTGGTCGTTAAGGTCTTCTTCCTGAGAGTGTATTGTCTCATTTTCGTCAAAGTTGTTATGTAATGAATTTGTGTCATCGTCACTCCCCCTTTCTGGGCCTCGATCGCACTAATTTCATGAGTTTCGTTGTTTATTCTGCTGAGAAAGTCAGCCACTTTATTTTCTTTACCCTTTATATAGTCGATATTAATATTATATTCTCCTAGTTTGAGTAGCCAACGATACAGTCTTGGATTGACGTCTTTACCTTGTGTTTTAGAGTGTAACCACTTTAATGGTTGATGGTCAGTTAATAAATCAAATTTAACACCGTAAAGGTAAGGCCTAAAGTAATTAGTCGACCACACAATTGCTAATAGTTCTTTTTCAGTAGCTGAGTATTTCCTCTCATGTTCATTGAGGGTCCTACTAGCGAAACACACTGGGTGGCTATCCAGTTGGAGAACAGCACCAATAGCATTTTGGCTGGCATCTGTTACAAGTTTAAATTTTTTATTGAAGTCGGGTTGTTTCAATTATTAATTTCTTTAATTTTTCGAAGACATTTATGTAGTTCAAATCATTAGTGTTGACTTTCACATTTTTCTTTAGGTATTGAGTCATAAGCTGGGCTACCTTAGCATAGTCACGAATAAATTTTCGGTAGTAGCCAGACATACCTAAAAACGATTTAATTTGTTTTTGAGTCTCCGGTAATTGCAATTTACGGATATCCTCAATTTTCTTTGGATTTGGTCTAACTCCCTCGGGTGTTAGATTATGACCCAAATATTCGGTTTCCTTAGAGAAGAAATTACATTTATCGAATTGAATCTTCAGATTAAGTTCCCGTAATTTATTGAAAATTAATTTTATACTGTTAATATGCTCTGCTAGATAGACGACACATATTCTATTTATAAAATCTCAAAGAATATGGTTCATTAGGCGCTGAAAAGTTGCTGGTGCATTTTTCAGGGCCGAAGGGCATCCTTATATACTCATAGT